AGTTGGGATTCCTAGGGATTTCTAAGCCACCTAACTAGGTTAATGTAGGGCAAGCCTCCAATCAACCATCGACTGCCATAACGAGAGGGCCTCTTGAGTTGGGATTCCTAGGGCTTAATTGAGTTGGGATTCCTAGGGCTTTCTAATCAACCATCGATTGCCTTAACGAGAGGGCCTCTTGAAGAGCCTATAATGTATCCCTCGTTTTGGCAATCGAGAGTGTGGTCTACGACCATATTTGCGTCCCCTAGCGGTTCGCGGTCACCTTGCCCATAGCAATAACTTTGATACACATACCATGGTAGTGGTTAGGGGGAAGCGACACCCGAGTGATCATTCTCGCAAAGAGCTTTCAAAACCATTTACTTTTGCCTTTCTTTACTTTAATTAGGAAAATTTTCAACCAAAACCGATTCGCTAGATAATGATTCAAATAACTGAAGTAGAGGTACACAGACCGGCCCCAAGTCGATATTTAAACATACTTGCCTTGTATTGCACCCAACTAAGGTTTACACTTTAACTTTAGGCGGGAATTAATTGTGATATTCGGGACGAGTCAGTGTCCTTGGGCATTCTATGCCTCCTATTATAGGTTAGTCAAAGGACAAACCTCCTAATTCTCATTAGCACTTAGGGTTTGGTTGTGGGTGGCAGTCCGAACTCCAATTCGAGGGTGAAGTCTAACCATTCCTTAGTTGATAGGTTGAGAGGGTCACATTAGTGGCTTGGATTGTATCCCATTCCTCAACCTAGAGGCTAAGAGGGCAACTTTGACTGATTGTTAGACTTCCCTACGGTTTATGACCCCCTAACCACACACGGTCGTTCGATTCTTCAAGTTATAATTGTTAGCTAGGGGGAGGAACTCCCGGGTGAAGCTTTCTCAACTAGAGTCAAATCCATCTTACCTTTACAAAACAAATTAGTTTTAGACCTTTGTTTTCACCAAAACCAATCCGCTAGATAATGTTTCAAACAGTCAAAGTAGCGGTACATGGACCTGCCCGTGTCGATATTTAAACATATTTGCCCTATACCGCACCCATCTAAGGTTTATACTTGGACCTTAGTTGAGATTTTATTGTAATAATCAGAGCGAGTCAAGCACCAAATTTCCATCTTCTTTTTGTCTTCAAAAAGTTGAAAACACCAATGTTTTCCACTTCTTTCTCTTTCTGTAAACCAAAACACCAAACCTCCCCCTTCTTTCTTTTCCCAAAAATTTAAGCACCAAATTTTCCTTTTCTTTTCCCACCAAAAAGTAGAAAACACCAAAATTTCCCAATTCTTTCTCTTCTTATAAACCAAAGAATCAAAACTCCCCCTATATCTTTCTCTTCTTTCTTTTATTAAAAATACATAATTTCAACGCAATATCATTTTTTGAACTTTCCTTTATAAAATGAAAAATAGTTTTACTCAGTCTTACAACAAACAAACTTTCTTTTTGAAAATTTATATAATATATAATATAGTAATTATTCGGGTCAATTGGGCGGTTACGGGTTAGTAGGATTCGGGCCAATCGGGGTCAGGCCAATCGGGTTACGGGTTTAATCGGGTTGCGGATCAATCAGGTTTGGGTTAATCGGGTTGCACTTTATTCGGGTTACAGGTTAATCGGGTCACGGGTCAACTGGGTTGCGCGTCGGGCGGTTTGTGGGTCATTGACTTTTAATCAATTCGGATTGCGGTTGGTTTGTGGGTTAGGTTAGTCGGGTCGGGTTCTGTTTTGACACCTATAGCCCCTTTCCTTCCTGGAATCGCCAAACACTTCCCCATTTTTGGGATGCTTTTGTCGATTTCTCAATCTCTTCCCCATTTATAAAAACTCCATTGGAGTTAACCTAATAATGGGCTAAGATGGTTCAATGCTATAGTGGAGGTGGGAGAATTAGGAAATTATCTCCATACTCATATTTGTCTTGCGTTTAGTGGATGATAAATTGAGTAATATTAACATGGTTACATAATACATAGGTTTGAATAGGTTTGAGTGGTTACAAATATTTAAAATATAACAAAAACTCATGTGTATATGGTTTTGCAAAGTACGTTTAGGCACTCGTCTCGTCTAAACTCGTCTAGGTGTTAGGCAGAAGAAAAATGCCTCGTCCTGACCATAAATAGCAGACAATGCATCTCAGAAATGTTGTGGCCCCAATGGTGTCTAGTCAAAAATGAGTTGCGCCTCAAAATGACGTTAAGGTGTTTCTTTTCTGCCTTCTCTATGTGCTACTAGGTTATAAAGAAATCAATATTGTCCTCTCTTTTCCTCTTCCCTGTGTTCTAGCCGTTAGGCTAAAATTAGAGACGATCATATTTAAAGTAGCTTCTTCTTTCTTTTTTTTTACATTTATTCTCTCTCAATCTGCTTCGCTTTTGTCCAGCTTCTTCTTCCCATTTCATTGCTTCAAACTATATTTTATACTTTACCATGTGTTGTTGATGAGAGTTTAGAAATGAGATGTAAACACGATGATATTGGTTCACAAACTTGTGATTCAAGGCAAATGTAAGATATTTTGCTACATTTACATCCAACACTTAGACACGCCTAGACGATGCCTAGGCATGCTAGGCACTAGAAAGAAGAGTCTCAACGCCTGCCTTACACCTAACATTTTAATTAACAATTAATTATATAACAAAACAATTATTTCGTGTCTTCCCATTCAAAATGCTCACTTAGATGACTAACTCAAGCAAAAACTAATAACAATATCATACAGATAATCAACCATTAAAACCTACCTCTTCTCCAAAGCAAGCTAACTTGACATTTTGGATAGAAATTTTGAAGAAAAATTATAGAATGATTGTTTTGTTTTGTCGTGATATATATGTGATTTGTGATACTTTGATTAGGTTGTAAACGTTTATAGCCATTTTGAGCTGGCCCAATTAATATATGGTGTGCCGTATGAGCGGAGCAACTCAACTAATTTTTTGTACCATCCGCTGAAAATGTATACAACAATTTTAAAATTCGCATGGAAACACAAAGATCAAGATGCACCATTTTAGCTTGTGGCCAAACATTTATCACTTCATGCGTCGAAGAACAGGGCATGAGATGTGAGAAGCGATGACGTGAAATCAGAGAAATCGGGTCGGGTCAACGGATCACTTTTACAAACGGTCTCTCCTAATCAAAAGCCTGAAACAGAAACAGAGACATGTCTCCCCTGCATCCACTTGCAACGTTTTTTCCCCCCTCTCTCTCTTTCAAATCGTCTCCTTTCATTCCTGGCTTCCTGCTCTAGCTAGCTTTGTTCAGTCTTTGGAGACTTTGCTAAGAGAAGCGGCGTAGTACTTCTTGAGACAAATCGGGACGGCAACAGGCAACAGAAGCCCAAACAGGTTGAACCCCCAGAACGCCATGTTCGACACCGCCAGAGCCCTCCCGAAATACAGCCTCCTTGCGCCGGACCACCCCTGCCCGCCGCCGCCGCCACCGACGCCCTCTGATTTCGAGAGCTCGCTGCGGAGCCAGTCTGCGAGGCTGAAGATGCGGCGGGAGTTGTAGAACACGGGGACGAAGACCCCGACGGGGAGCGAGAATCGGTCGGAGAAGGCGACGCCTTCCATGAACAGCTGGCTCGCGAGCAGGAAAACGTGAGGTGCGGCGGCCTTGATCCCGTCCTTGTCCCCCTCGAGGATCCCCTCGCAGATGTAGGCGACGGGGAGGAAGATCCCCAGGACGGCGCCGAAGAAGACGTAGAGGCGGAGGGTTCTGGATCTGGTGTCGAGATTCATGGCGTCCTTTTGAGGGAGCGGGGGGAAGGCGAATCGGGAGAGGAGGAAGATGTAGAAGAGGGAGAAGACGACGAATGCGAAGTCGGAGATCCCCACGAGTCCGCTGGCGGCGAGGACGATGATCGCGGCGAGGGAATTGAGCTGGTAGAAGCTGAGGAGGGATGCTCTGTTTCTTGGGGCGGCGGTGGAATTCGGTGGCAATTGGGTCTTTTTGTTGTCTTGGACAAATTTGTGGCCTTGTTCTTGCTCTTGTTGGTCCTTCGGTAGGGTTATGTCTGCGCTCGGCCCGACTCCTCCTGACATTTCTTCTTCTTCTTAGATTTTCACTCTTTACTCTGGTTGTGGTTTGCTTCTCTGTTTCTGGGGACTCTGATCTTTTTTGTTTTTTGTTTAGGTCTGGAGGGGAGGACACGTGGAGGGAGATGAGGAAGGGCAGTTGTTTAAAGATTGATTAGTGGAGTGGACGGTCTTATCGGCGTTGCTGAGGGAGAAGACAGTGGAGTAGAGGGGCCTGGTCAATTTGGACAAATGTTTTTGTTTCCCGGCAAGTCGGAGTTCGTATTTTCCGGTGGAAGAATGAATGGTACGAGTGAAAAGTTTACACAGTCTATGCCTCTATGGTGCACGACGGACACTATAGAGTATAGAGTCGCACTAATAAATGGTTGAATTTAGGGATTTGACATTAGAGTGCGGTCAAACTTGAATTGCGTTTGTGGTCGAGTCAACTCGCACGTCTAACATTCGATTAGTTTTTAGCGTTATATGCGCGGGTTTGCAATCGGGTTGAAGTGAAACCGCCTGGTTGCGGTTCAAAAGGACAAAAAGAATTCACTCATCGAACGACAAGTTGAACTTTCCATAAGCAAATGCACTAGGTACTCTGGCAATCGTTGGTGATCAGAGAACTCTATGCCAATTCGACCACATTGTCAATTCAAATATTAATTATGGTGAAATATGCGTTTTTCGATCTAAACCGCACCAAAACCTCATACCTGTGTGGTTCGATATGACCGCGCCAAACTAAATCATTGTCAAGTATGCGGTGCAACCAAATTGATAAGTGATGCGATGAAGTTTGTGTACGGTTTTGACAACAACAATTGCCCACCCCTTGTTGAATTTATGCACAATTTGAATGAATAGGTCACACACGACAAATCACCAATCTAGTAATCACTCAAATTCAAATCATGAAATTGAAAATGTAACCTAAATCCCGATAATGTTTTGTCGTCATTAACTACTTTATCTCATTCAAAAATCTCATCCAAATAACGCATAATATCAACACTGTGAGTCTGTGACGAGGTTGGAGAATGGGAAGGCAGGAAAGGAAGAACTCTGCCAGAAAATATGTATCGTGTATGTCAACAAGACCTACAAGTAAGAGACACTAAAACTTATTAGTACAGGTAAAACAATCGAGACTGAATCAATGAGAGACCCCAACCCCAAAAAATTTAACCAAAAATGGAGAATACCGAAAAAAAAAAGGGAAAATAACACTATAAACTGCTCTGCCTCTGCTAAGTAAATTAATACCAACCAAAACCTCCAGCTGTTGCTAAAGCCACTGGTAAAAAAAGGACGAAACTGAAAAATGACTCCTGGCAAAAACCCTTTTTTTTTCAGATCACTCTCGTTTTCTCGTTCTTGTCTATCAATTTTTTTGTCCTGACAGAAGACCATGGCTGTAAAACTGGAACCCTCTGCTAAGAATGTAGTAAAATGACAAAATCAAAATCTGTGCACGTTTGTATGAGAAAACCCCCCGAAAAGATGAAAAGAGAAATGAGTTTTGCTCCTCCTTCCTTCCCTCTTCTTTGGTTTATTAGCTCAACGTTCTTTGTTTCGGTATGTACTTTAGCTTCACCCCTTTCTCAGGTTTTGCTCTGAACTTGCCCTTCAAACCAGCACCTCCATCGACCATCATATCCTCCTCCGATCCTCTGGTACCAAGCTCTATACCTCTACGAACATCTGACGACTCAGCTGCAACAGCACAGCCATTTTGTTGAACACCCTTACCGGCTTTGAATGGTTCAGGTGCGAGAACCAATTTCACATGCTCCGCTGCCATTGCCTCCTTCCACCCTGCATTGGCACTAATGGTTATTCTCTGACATGAAATGGTATAAAAAAACAGAAGAATAGAAATATGTTGAGCTTACTCTCTGCAAGAAAAGCTTTAGCCGCCTGGCATGAGAATTGAGACCTCCCAGGAGGTAGACTTCCATCTGGTGATTCTCTAGAGCCACTTTCATCTTGTGGTTGGCCTTTGGTGCCATTTCGGCTAACAGGCCTCCACTGCTGCTTCACTGTTGAACGATTCGAGTGTTTGTCCTGAACATTATTATTGCTCTTCCTCGGAACTTGCTGCTGCTGGTCTGCTTGACCATCCTGTTGGCTAGAATTCCCAAGTGCAACAGAGATAGAGCCAATAAGAACTTCGCGTTTCTTGGCATGATGATCTGGCTGCTGGCTTGTCATTGCTGCTTCCCTATCAACTCTGGGTTTCAAGGTCTCCCCGGTGGCATATTCTACTCTAGCTTTCCTGCTCCACTTTCTGTTCCCGTTAACCATTGCCGCTTGTTTCGGATCCCTGTAAGTTCCGTGATAACCGTTAGGAATATGATTCCACTGGGATTTTGGAGGCACGTGCCACCGACCTACGTGCCTACTACGGTTGCATCCCGGTACTGTCGTGTGCCGTTCGACAAAATAATCTCTGCATGGATCACCAGCAGCTCCAGTATCGTATAGAATCTGATTCTCCAAATCCAACAACTCTTCATCTTGATATGTGAGTTGGAGAGGTTCAGAAGATGATGAAAAGGGATCTGGCTGAATTTCGACGTCGTGTGAATTAGAACTGCATGCAGTTGAACAGGGTAGTTCAGCTGGGGGCTCCTCCATGGTCTCATCACTGTGCTCCTCGATGTCAGGTTTCTCCTCCAGCCTCTGCTCCTTAGCTCTCTGTTCTTTCTGCCTGAGCTTCTTCTGCCTTTTCCGTTCCACAAGTTCAGCTTGCCTACAAGCATTCGGGAAACATGTCGTTGTAAAACACAAATGGTACTAAAAAACATAGTATGGCAAGTTTATTTCGAAATTCAGGTAAGCAGGGACCTTCTCTGGGCAGCTTCTTCCTCCTCCACAAGCAATTTCTGGCACCTCAGAGCTTCCGCATCCTTGTCTGCAACCCATGCCTTAATCTGAATGGAGGGAAACCAAGATGCATCGCAATTTATTTTTCTACAAAAAAAAAAAAAACACCAACTTATTTGATGGATACAATTAGCTAAACTAACCAGTTTCTGTTCCACCAAGAAGCTGGTGCATGCAACTATGTTCTTTGTCTCGAGACCAGTTTTAGCGGCTTCCCCATCAAAAATATACTTCTGCATTGAGATTGCTGCTCCACACAGAAATGTCTTTTCACTGGCATCATCGAGAATACTAAACAGTTCCTCTGAAGATAAAGGATACCTAAATCTCCCTTGGATAATATCCTGCAGAGAAGTCACAGATCCCATTAGCTTAAGCATAGAGCAGGAACAGAATAAAGCAGCAATCTTAAGAAAATAAGACAACTTTGCCTCACCAGAAGAGCAGTACCAGCCCTCAAACAGTACTGTGGAAGGGGAGAAAACCCCTGTTTCCGGTTAAGAGCCATCAATGACTTTATAATTGAAGATCCCGACACTTCCTGGTGATTTACAGGGAAAGAGATATGCATTTAAGCCAAATCAGAGATATGCAATAAAACCAAATCATTATTACGACGCAACAGAAAAATGGAGAAAATGTGGAGGGTGATGGGAAAGTGAATGACTCCCAACAACATGGATTTTAGAGGCAGATAAACTAAACGACCGACCCAAGTCTGCAAGCTGTGACATCCTCGCAGCAAATACAAAACAACATACCTCCAGCGCCACATCCTTGAATGACAAAATCTCCTTTGCTTCATCTTCAGAGAGCTGCAAAATACACTGATCGATCAGCAAAGAGACAAAGCCGCAGCACATCAGAACCACTTAAGACAGAAACTTTACCTTTTCCCAAAAGGCTCCTAACAGATTCCTGTTTTTTGTGGTATCCTGACCAAGGGAAAAAAGTTTTTTTTCAGAATGATTCCAATCAACATATGTTACATATAAAGCCTCAAAAGGGAAGTTTAAAACATATACTCTTATAACCGTTGAGCGAACAACGACAAAAAAATCAGGTACTAAATGCAAGGATACCTTGTCAAGCTTTTTCAGTCGATGGTGAACACGTATGTGCCTCCTATAGTTTATGGAGGAACAAAACTCCCGTGAACACTTGTCACATTTTTGCATCTGAACCTTCAAAGGAGTCAGTAAAGGCCACCCAGGTCCATCTGCAACAATCCATTGGCATATAATCTCAGAACAAAATGCAATTATAACAACAACCACAGACAACACAGCCACATTTTTACATGTTGTTCTGAGTATGGATGAAAGAGCAGCTAGTAGTACCTTGCTGGTCTAGAGCTTGAAGCAGTTGGATCCACTGTACGGGGCTGTCGTTAGTCCTTGGGAAGGAAAGTAGAGGCTCCTTCCCCATTGCTTGCCTGATAAACGTGTCGAGGGAATCATTCCCCTCTTCTGATTTCATCACATCTGTAGCGTTGGCCCCTTTGAGTTTCGCAACTGGCATTTATGCACACAGGAAAAGTACAGGATACGACTACCTCGCTGAAACGCCACTGCACAAAGAACAGCAATGTCAGTTGAAGCAATGTGGCTTTGACTCTGAATTGCCTCCACTCCACATTTTCGTTATTAACAAGCAAAATAACAAGCCATTGATGTCCAAAAAAACAGCAATGCCAAAGTTTCGAAAGGTTGGGTCAGATAATTGGTATATTCATTCGCTAGATACCACCTACAACATATACAGTTTCGAATTTCCCACTTCCCCCATTGACCATTCCCGTCGCCAACCAAAAGACCTTCCGCACCCTGCAGAATTTCAACCGACCTAATTTGATTAGTTCGAGATTTCGCCCCCACCCGGATTCAACCAACGAGACAAAAATCTCTCGGCATCTTTACCCTCGTTCTTGCTCAGCTCCACCAATCGAAAGAGAAAATCGAAACAGCGCCGCGAAATCAATGGTGAAAAAGCTCAATCAGGAATGCCAATACAAAAAGAACAGAAAATTTCGTTCGGTATCGTGTCGGTGACGTGATCTATGAAAAGGGAAGATTGTATTGACGGAACGTATACGCCTGAGCGCCTTTTTTACATGTAGAGGGGAAAAGGAAAAACACTAGCAGTAAGTGAAGTGATCGGCGATACGTACCAGTTGGAACAAGTGAGAGGCGGAGGGAGGAGAGATCGGTAGAGAGGAGGAAGCAATCTCCGGCGATCAGAGGGATTGAGAGGGGAAGAAGCGGAGTGATTTTGAAAGGAGAGAAAATCGGGAGAGAAAGTGCGAGAAAGGTGATCGGCCGAGAACTAGTAGAGGAAGAAAAAGAGAGGAAAAAATTGAAAAGAGAGTTTCCAGGGAGAGAGGGTAAAATTTCAGAAGGAGGGAGCCAAAAAGAAAAAAAGAAAGAACAGTGTTTATTTAATATTTGGGCAATGTCTATTTTTTACCCAAACCTTTTCAAACTTCTTTTATTTTACCCAAACCTATCAAAATTCTATTTTTTATCCAAACTTATTGTAATTGACCAAAGTCTGGGCATTCGTTCTGTTACCGTTACTTATTTCGTAACGGAACTCCACGTCAGCGTACACGTAAGCGTACACGTCTGAAATTAATAATTTTAATATTATAAATTAAAAACAAATATATTTATTTATCTCATTAATTGGGTGATTCTTACCCTCTCTTCGTTTGAAAACCCAGAAAGGGCTCGAAGCCTCGCAGCCTCCGCCTTGCAGCCTCCGTCGTCTGTCTTCAAAGCATCGCCGTCGCCGTTCGAAGAATCGCCGTCGCCGCTCGAAGACTCGCCGCCGCCGGTCGAGTCTTGTGCTGCCGTTGCTCGTCTTTGAACCAAAAATTCAGAAAACCTAGGGTTTGAATCGAAAACCTAGAACCATCTTACCTTGCTCGAACAGAGATAGCTGTCCGGAAGAGTTGGAGGCGATTCGGCGACGCGACCCTTGCTTGCTTTCTCTGGGTGCTGGGACCGTCGACGCTGGGTGCTTGCTGGGAGGCGATTCGGGGAGAGAGATGGAAGCGCGGCGCTGGGTGCTGGGACTGTCGACGCAGGGAGGTTTAACAGGCGACGGCAGCTTGCTGCCTCGCCTGCCGGGAACTGGGCTTCGTCGTCGCGATGGAATGGAGAAGGAAAGGCGAAGCTCGGGAGAAAGAAGAGGATGGGAATCGAAATGGTTCTGTTTTTTTTTTTTACTTTTACTTTACTAGCCGCTATTATTATTTACTTTAGAAATCATTTTTTTTAATTAAAGGGCACCGCCACGTAGGATTCCACCTCATTCGGACGCTGCTGAGTCAATAAACGTAACAGAACAGTTAACGGTGGGATAACGATTGGATAAAAAATAGAATTTTGATAGGTTTGGGTAAAATAAAAGAAGTTTGAAAAGGTTTGGATAAAAAATAGACATTGCCCTTAATATTTTATTGGACGTCACATAAAAAAAATTATTGGATGTCTCTGCTTTGTTCTTATGCCGCGCAAGGAGCGTACTAAACTCACTACTAAGACAGCCAGATGTGTGTTCCTAGGTTATAGACTTATAGTAACATCCACAAGGATTATAGCTTAGTTTGGCCTTGCTGTAGTTTTTGCAGAAGCAGCTTCTGGCTGGAGCTTTTAGATAAGTACTTTTCAAAAAAGCAGTTAATTGTTTGGCTGTAAAACTATTAGAAGTGCTTTTTAATAGGAGAGGTTGTGTAAAATGACTATAAAGTACTTATAATATAAAATATCAATAAAAATTCTAAACAATAAAAGTAGTCAAAATGGATCTTGTTAGATTTCTTTTATATTAAATGATATAATTTTATAATTTATTTTATTTTTAAAATGATATAAATGAAGGAAAATTATATTTTCTGAAATAAAATTAAAATATGGTAAGGATAATCTTGTATTTTTAAAACAGCTTTTCGCAGCTTTTATGTTATATAAAAGCGCTTTTCGGCTTTTCAAAAGCCGAGCTTTTACAGGTGTTTGGCCCTGCTTCAGCTTTTGAAGTCGAAAAGCACTTCTAAAAGCCGGGCCAAAGATAGGGTATATTTGCTATGATCCTATCATGTATCGTGTTCGTATTGCTGCCACGGTTGTTTTCTTTGAAAACTTTCATTTTTATTCTCCCGAGAGTTCTAATCTTTTGTTCCTTCCTGTCTCTTCCACTCTTCCCACGTTTAATGATGATGATGAAGATCTTGATGTGGATATGCTGCCCCCTATCGACCCACCTTCTCCTCCACCGTATCTGCCTCCCACATCAAACCTTTCATCCTCTGCGAGTTCCTCTACTTCGGCGCCGAGTAATGCCTCATCTTCGACTACGTCATCACCGGACAGTTCATCATCCACATCTCCAGCGTCTTGAGATTTTGATGAGTCCCCATCTCTCGTCGCTCCTTTGGCTCTTCATCGATCACTATGTGCCACGCGTGGGCAACCTCCTCAACGGTATGATGATTTTGTGTCATACGGGGTTGATGCTTATGTTGTGCCTACACGTTATCAGCAGGCACGTGGTGATCCAATGTCGGATCAGGCTATGCAGACTAAGATAGATGATGTTCACGCCAACAAGACTTGAACGGTAGTGGACCGTCCACCCCCAGAGGTTCCGGTGATTGGTTCACGGTGGCTGTACTCCATTAAGATGACTCTTGGCGGGTGAGATTGAGCGTCACAAAGCTAGGATCGTAGCCCAAGCGGTTTCACAAGAACATGGTGTTGACTTTGGCGAGAAATTTGCTTCGGTCGCTAAAATGGCTACGGTCCGTACTCTTTTGGCAGTTGCAGCTCTTCGCCGGTGGTCTTTCTTTCAACTCGATGTCTGAAACGCGTTCTTGCATGGCGACTTGAAGGAGGTAGTGTACATAGATAAGCCCCCGGGGGTATAATGTTGGTGCTCCTAGTTGGGTCTGTCTTCTCCACCGCTCCTTGTTTGGTCTCAAACAGGCTCCTCGCGCCTGGTTTGAGAAATTTCAGTCTACTATACCGCAGCTCGGGATGCGCCAGAGTTTGAGTGCTCCATCATTGTTTACCAAGACTTCATCTTCACGTTTTGTTATCCTCCTCTTGTATGTCAATGATATGGTGGTCACAGGTGATGGTGTTTAGGGTATTGCGCATCTCAAGACAGGGATTCAGCCGACATTCAGTTTGAAGGACTTGGGGGAGTTATCTTATTTCCTGGAACTCGAGATTACTCGAGATGGTGGCGGGATATTCATTGGTCAGCGAAAGTATATTAGTGACTTATTAAATGATCATCAGTTTGTCGATTGTCAACCAGTTAGTACTCCTATGGAGCTCAATTTGAAATTGGGCCGTGATTCAGGAGAACTCCTTCCTGTTGGTTCGCAGTACCAGAGTCTTATAGGTAGTCTAATATACCTTGCTGCCACCCGTCCACACATTTCGTACGCTGTTCAAGTAGTGAGCCAGTTCATTGTTGTCCCGCGTCAAGATCACCTTGCCGCTGCTCATCAGATCCTGAGATATCTTCAGGGCACTCAGGACGTTGGTATGTTCTTCCCATCTACTGGTTCTAACGTCCTTCATGCATACTGGGTTTCTGATTTTGCAGGTTGCATTGATACACGACGCTCCACTACCGGGTGGTGTGTTCAGTTTGCTGGGGCCTTCATTTCATGGCGTTGTAAGAAGCAGGATAAAGTGTCGAAGTCTTCTACTAAAGCAGAGTATCACGCCATATTTGATGTCTATTCTAAACTTGTCTGGATTCGGCGATTGCTTGGTTATTTGGGTGTGACGTGCTTCGTTCCCCTCGAGTTGTTTGTGGATAATACTAGCGCTATCCAGATCACGATTAACCCAGTCCTCCACGACCGAATGAAGCATATAGAGCTTCATATTCATTATGTTCGTGGCTTGGTTCGGGACGATTTGGTTAAGCTTCACTATGTTCGGACTGAACACCAGATCGCTGGCATTCTTACTAAGCCGTTTACTAGCAGTCGTCACTGGTACCTCTCAAGCAAATTGGTGCTTCGTCCCCGACATCAATTTGGGAAGGTCGTTAGCGGATTAGATGTATTAATGGGCCAACGTTGATGTTTGGTGATTGGCCCATGTAATAGCCCAAGCACCCATGCACCTGCTGACGTGATTGTGTAGGGTTTGTGTGGTCTATTTATGTTGCTTGTAATCCTCCGTCGAAAACTCGAGAAAGCTAGTACGATTTTGTGCTTGCAGAGTCATACTCTCTCGTGGAATAAAATATGTGTGTTTGTCTCTGTGCGTTTGATTTATGTTTAGTTCGTTAACTTATATTAGAAGAATTTGGATGGGAAATTTATCGAGTGGAATCCTTTCCGCCCACTAGATGACACAAACGCAACTCTTATTGATGATGCTCCTGAGGTCGACTATTCCTACTCGTCAGTTTGCACCTCTCAAGGAGCCTTACACCTGATTATCCATGGGACACAATGCATTGAGCGTTTGGAGACGGGAAGAAGAAGACCCTAACAGAGGTTGGAGGAGAAGTCATGAAGTGTTGTTGAGTATGCTAACGTTTGGCATTGTCATCGACGACATAGATCGTGAGATTAATGGCTCGAAGTTTACAACACTTTATGTGGTTGGTCAACAATGCATTAAGAAAAGCCGGAATTTCTGTTTCCGTGGGGTGTTCTTCCTGATTTTGGCAGGTCTCTTGATTCTGCTTTCTTCTCTTGCAATTTGAGAGGCAAAGAATTAGAGTTCTTTGCTTACCCAACAGGGTTAAGACTATATCAGATGGTGTTCCAGCCTAGGGTTATTTTATGCCCCACTCGAATTTTAGGTTTCGAAAAATTGTGCGGTGGCTACAATGGAAGCTTAAGTTGTTGGAAACAACCAATTAACTGCTTTAGTCCAAGTTCATAGTAGAAACAAGTCTTAACAAGTTCACATCTTGGAAAATGTTAGAACGGTACCAATTTCATATGTAATTTGAGTAATGTTTTTTTTTTGTCTTCTATTATTCTTTCTTTTACGTTTGCTTGGCGGCGAATTTGACAGTGACCAGAGATATCTGTTGGCTAGCTGCTGACTTAGACCTTTGGTTGTTTGCTCGAAGTTGGAGAGCAACGACGAAACTGGAAAATTTAGAGATTTTTAAATCTCTAAAATTCATTAATATAAAATCTAGATGAATTGAGACTCTCTATTTATTATTATGCACGAATTTGAGGATGATAGAAATCTGATCAGTCAGGTTACTAACATTCTATTTATTATTATGCACGTATTTGAGAATTGGATATTTGATTATTTTGGAAGTCATTTGATTATTTCGGGATGAGGTGAAAGAATGGGTAATTATCGAGATTATATATACTGAGTAAGTGGGATTTACTCACTAGTTTTTGACATAATCCTCCAAACAATATAAGGAGGTTCTCCTTCGTAACCCATTTCATTCTATTTTCTCAGGCTTCTGCGCAGTCTTTTTTTTTTTTTGACAAAAGATAATCATATATTATATCAAAATGATAGTTACATCCTGGAGATCAGCCAGGCCTGATAATCAAAATAACGGTTCATAGCCGGGTACAGAGTGAGGGCCTGACGAGCCACTAAGTGGGCTACCCTATTGGCACGCCGACCTACAAACCGAAGAGTAAACCCTTGATTGCAGGACAAATAATGCAGCACCTCCTTCAGTATTGCTCCAATCCTGCCGTCTCTATTATCCACCAGTTGGATTTTCTCAATGACAACCTTGGAGTCCCCCTCGAATCGTACACTAGAGAAACCATGCCCTATGCACCAAAGAATCGCTTCACGCAAGACCAGCAATTCCACTACCAGAGGATCATCAATGACGGGAATCTGCATCCCAGTGGCCATCAGGAGGTCTCAGTTCGGGGTCATTAGCACCGCTCCTCCTGCTGAATGCGATCCCCTCCGAGTAGCCCCATCCCAACCACAGATAACCCCGGCACCTCGTCCTGGTTCGAATGGTGGGCCGCCGCAGCAGCAGGGACCACGATAGGCTTATCGACCGGGAGGCGCACCCATTCCTCGTATTGCTGCGTGAACTGGCGCATCAGTGCATCCACTCTATACTATTTGCCTTCAAAGACCACCCCTGGAGCCGCTCCAGGAGTTTCTCTTCTAAATAACGGAAGGTTTCCATTTTCGATCTTGCTATCAGGGATGGGAGCCCAAGGTATTTATCATGGACCCCAATTGCCCCTAGCCCCATAATTGCGGCTAGGAATTCATGGTCTGGCATCGTAATATTTCGACTGAAGCACACCGCTGATTTTGCCAGGTTCACTCTTTGGCCACTCAGTTCCTCATATTCATTCCAAACTTCGATTAGATTTTCACATTCTTTGAGCGTTCCACGCAAGAATAAATATGAGTCATCAGCAAAGAATAAGTGCGAGATTCTCGGGGCTCTGGGGGCCACCTTAATCCCCGCCAATTTCTTGTCTGAGATAGCCTTTCGTAGGAGAGCCGCAAACCCCTCTGTACAAAGTACAAATAAAAGGGGCGACAGGAGATCTCCCTGACGAAGCCCCCTGGAGGGAGTGAAGTAGCCAGACGGAGTACCATTCATCATTACCGTAAAGGACGTAGACCGAAGACACTCCTGAATCCACCCTCTCCAGACGGAATTAAAACCCATCTTCTCTAAAACCGTAAGGAGAAAAGTCCATTCGACTCTATCAGACGGAATTAAAACCCATCTTCCCACGTTTTTTGATTTTCAGGTAATGCATAAGTTCATGTCCGAGGAGGATATTTTCGACAATTTGTCTTTCTCGAATAAAAGCATTTTGACCAGCCGAGACAATCGTAGGTAAAATACAGGCCAGCCGCTCAGCCAGAATTTTGGTTATGATTTTGTACACAAATTGGCATAGGCTGATAGGCCGCAATTGCCTCATTGATTCAACATTATCCACTTTCGGGATTAGAGTGAGCCAGGTATGATTGAAACTACGAAGCATTTTCCCCGTTGAGAAGAACGAGCAGACTGCTTCAATCACTGACGGCCCCACAATATCCCAAATGGATTTGAAGAATTTGCCAGTAAACCCATCCGACCCCGCCGCCTGTTTTGATCCCATAGCAAAAACTGTCTTACGCACTTCCTTCGGGAGAACTGTCGCAGTTAAGGTATCATTCATAGCCGGAGTAACATTTTGGGCAATGGGCAGGGAAAAAACACGATCTCTCAAATTTGGGACCTGATTTTCGGATGTGAAAAGGTGACGATAGAAATTTGTCGCAACCTCTGCTTTACCCTTCTCATCAGTGACCCAGTCCCCATTATCAGTTTGGAGCCCAGCTACAAAATTCCTTTTGCGTCGGGTTCTAGTTACTGTGTGGAAGTACGAGGTATTTTTATCACCCTTCTTGAGCCAATGGACCCTGGAATTCTGTTGCCAGTAGACCTCCTCGGCTTCCCATTGCCTATTCAATTCTATCTCCAACTCACGGATCTCATCCCAGTTAATCGGGTGAATACTTTTGATCCTCTCAATTTCGCCTTGCAGCGTACGAATATTCCGCAGCGAATTCATGGTCCCAGTTCTGCTCCAGTCATAAAGAAGATGGCGGAGCTTTTTGAGCCGTTCCCAAAGTCGAAACATAGGGGTGCCTTCAATACTCTCTTGCCAGACGTACGAAACCATAGCTTTCACCTCAGGGTTATCCGCCCATCGCGCATCAAACCGGAAGAGAGGGCGACTATGGCGAGTGTACGATTTATCTGATAACAAGAGGGCCCGATGATCCGAGCCTTGATCAGTAAAATGTTTAACCAGAGTTTCCGGGAAGCGGTCCTGCCACGATTGGGAACACAAAGCCCTATCCAGCCTTTCACGAATACAGGCCACCCCATTCTTTTATTCGTCCAAGTGAACGGGTCCCCTTGATACCCTGGATCAAAAAGCCCCAGATCCTGAATGAGATTTCGAAGTCTAAGGGCCTGGCCCACATTCCATTGAGTCCCCCCGTCTTTCTCATTCTCCTGGAGAGTAGTATTAAAGTCTCCAATAATCACATAGGGATCAAGGATGCCATTGCAAAGACCTTGTAACAGGTCCAATTGGGTGTTACGAATAGCGTTATTACAGCTAATGTAAACGAAAAAGACCACATAGGCAAAGTTTATTTCATTAATGCGGACACCAATACAAAAATTTGAATGATAAAACACCGAAGCATTGACTTCGGGGGACCAAGCGACGACCAAACCACCTGATGCATCAACCGCATCGACGAAAAAACAACAAGAAGAAGGGAAACCTAACCACCGCATACGGCGGGCAACTACTCTCCGTCTCGATCGTGTTTCCGAAAAAAACACGAGATCCGGTTTATTCGAATGAACTAAACTAAAAGCATATTGAAATGTGAGGGATGGTCCAATTCCTCTCACATTCCAAGCCAGAAGTCTCATGTAATCGGGTGGGGCCACTCTAGGCTGGCTTCCTCCACCTTATCCATTCCTTCCTTATCCTCCACAAACTGCTTTTTTGGAGTTGGTACTTCAGCTAATTCTCCCATGACCTCATCAAGATGACGTTTTTTAGTCCCCCTTTCCTGATCGAGAATATTGGTGCCATATTCATTAATACCAATACATGAAATGTTGGCAGGAGGTTGTTGCTGAAGTATTTCAACCGGTGATTCCACCTCCTTCAGGGCCAAACCCTTCTCAAAAGCTTGCACCACCTGATTCACCCTGTTTGAGCGGGCTAAGCGGCGCAGAGTTCCCTTCTCCTCAGGCACCCTCCTACGAACTTCAAACAAACAAGATTCCTCCTCTGAGCTCGTGCCCTCCGAATCACACAGCTCCGGGGCCAAAGGCGAGCTCTCCAAATTCTTCGGAGCCACCCGCGGCTGTTTGTCTTTCCTTTTCCACTCATCCTCTGTCCCCGAACTCGAGTTCTGCCCATTACCCTCTTTGCCGTGGGCTGAGCCTGTCCTAGGAAGTTGGCGTCGAAGGGTTCGCGTCTCCCTGAGGGGAGGAACCCTATCTTCAATATACCACGGATCCAGGGCCAACATCCGCAGAGGGACGGCATCCACAATTTCGCCAGCAATCGGGCACTGATGTTTGGAAACTATGGTCGGATTTGCCCCATTAACAGGAGACGGGACTTCATGGACAACGAACTCCTCTTCCGACTCTTCCTCCAATATCAGGCGGCGGCGGCGAGAGTTTCCATCAGGTGCTGTCACCGGGGTCGGCGACACAATCGGTTCCTCCGAAGGGATTGATGGACGAGCTACCCTGCGCCCAGTCTTCTTTCGGCCCAATTTACCCGGCTCTTCCTTAGTCGTTGGTTTCAGAGACGAAAACCGGCCCGAGGCTCGATGGGCTTCAGAGGGGTTACCCCCGGTCTTTGGGCCGCTAATGGTTTTCCTTCAGTAGTCCGGCCCATACGCCTCTCCACTTGTGTTGGGCAGTCGACCTGCATTGGGTCATCAGAAGGCCCGCGTCTAGAATTCCCACGCCGAGTATGCCTGCCGATAGCCAGCTTTGGGCTTTTGGCCATCTGGAAGCGCCCCGGGCTTCTCCCCCTTTTTATTCTGGGCCTCAGTTGTAAGGAAAGGGTCCAATGAGGTCCCCATCCACAGTGGGCTGCCCACCTTAGCTTGAAGATTAGTAGCTGGCAGATTAGTGGGTTTCTGGGAACGAAGATTGGCAGCCGCCCCTCTCACCTGGGTATCATGCGTGGCTGTGTTTACCCAAACAGAGCTTGGGTGATGGCGGGATTGATTGCGTAGCTCCCCCCATCAAAGAGCTTACTCCCCATATTTTTAGTAGACATATGGGGGGCAAATCTTTCCTTTCTCGTCGGCGGATCAAAATTGCATGATTGGCGAGCGTGACTCACACGGCCGCAGTTGAAGCAAAAACTGGGGAGGAATTCGTATTTGAATCGAATCCAAAAGCCACCAGTCTCATCATTTGTTGCCATGATTTGGGAACGTAGAGGCTTAGAAAAGTCAATAAGCGTCTTCACTTTGATAAACTTCCGCGCCGTGGCAGAGCACAAGAAGACGCCAGCCTCCAACACGCGGCCAATCATAGAGCTGACTATCTTGCGGCCAAATTGGTGAGTGCAACAATCCTCCTGAACATCCCAGAGTTGGACGCGAAAAGGAGACTGCCGGAATCCATGTCTGAAGATGAAGGACTCTATCTACAACGATCCATGGAGTTCTCTGTAGCACCCAAGTTCTAGCTTCCTCAGACGGGAGGGTGAACTCCAGGAGCTCATGCTTCAGTTCCCGAACGATAATACCTCCTTGTCCTTGCCATGGGCGATTGACCGCGTCCCGAATCTCGGTGAGTGAGAGACGGTCATCAGAGAAGAGGCGACCAATAAGCATTCGGGACTTGGGCGCGCGGGTCGCTTGGATCTCCTCCAGCGAGAAAGCCACTACTTGATCGCTAGCAATACGAGCCATGGTGTTCACCTGCAACGAAAGAGGAACAACAACGATGTTCAAAGGGAATTCAACAAGGTTGTCCAACGACCAAGGGAAGCTCCATAACAAGTTTCGAATCGCAAGCTTGGGGACAGGGTCCAACCAAATAAAGAAGTAGATATCCAAGGAAGAAACCAACCACTCACCGGTTAAAGCACTTTGCCGAAGCTGAACTGCTTTGTTTTGCCATTCCACACGAGTGTTATGCTTTTGTGAGCGTATGAAACCCGACGGGTATGGAGGCCGGTTTAAATAACACAGTGAGGGTTGGTTGAAAAACGGATTGGAGAGACAACTTTGCATTAGGAGTCTCCTGATATGGTCGTTACACTCGTTTGGGGTGAATACTCCAGCGCTTCTTTTATTTTTTGAAAAGATTTGGCTGTTGAGCAGAATATCCCCAGGACAAAAAAAACCGAGGGTCGTTGCGGCGGTTAGGAAGTGTCCAACTCTTAGCAGGAAAGCTCAGACCCACAGACTCGCTGATTCAAGCGCGACCAGGTAGATCTCACCGGACGATCGCCGGACGATCGACCAGGGAGAGAACATAGTAACATCTCCGTCTCGTCTCCCTCATCAATTTCATCCGACGACGGGAGTTTGAAATGCCATCTCTGTATGCCGACCGACCTCGCCCCAACCTGGGATCTGAATTCAGTCGAAGAAGAGATATTTTGCCAATGTTTTTCACTGGCCGGATCCATAGGTAGATCCCGTTCCTCCCAATCCCAATCATCTGGAGACGGGATAAAGAACCGTCATCCCTGGCTTTTGCCGTCTTGATAATTCCTTTTTTTCTTTCTCAGCACTTCGCTGTGGATTGGTTCCGTGGTTGGATGCTTTTGCGTTTGCGAGGGCCAGGATGCACTTCACCCTCCTTCGCCTTCGAGTTTGAGGGTTTGCAAGGAGTAGGCTTAGGAGATTTACTCCATCGCCGGAGCACGGAGGTCAAATCTGAGCTATCTTCACGAGGTTGTTGATCATTCTCTTGATCACAATGGAGGCGTACATTGTAGTTGATTCCTTGGTTCGTTAGCGCCACGTCCAAGAAGAAGGCTACCGATCTAATGATGAGCCAGCCGGCCGTCGTGAGCAGACAACCGATCGCCGACCAGCCAGCGATGAGGAGAGAGGAGAGAGCTCCTCTTTCCATTTTTTTGTTTGAAGTGAAAGCAACACAATAATCAAAGCTACCACACCAATAGGAAGGAGTCCTTGGTATTTTATTGTTTTATTTTTTAATTCAGAAAATTGGCTTCTTGGGCTCGGTGTTTATAACTTTATATTTGTGGTCTTAATGTTTTATGGTCCTGGAAACTTTTTATTTTAATTATTGTTTTCAAATTTAGAACTTGGGTTTCAATTCTCTACGTGGGTCTGATGCTTTGATTTAGGATAAATCCAAATATGAAAAAGGTTACATTGCAAGTATTGATAATATGTTAGATTAAAAATTAGGGTTAATATATTTGTATGACTCGAACTTTTGACAAATTAAACATTCTGATTAATCTTTTCGATTTATTGTGACATCAACTATGCATCAAAGTTAAGAAATTGGTCAAATCTGAGATTTAAATATTATCTTAGAAGGTCAAAAGCATTGACTAACGGTCAATGTGCCACGTCACTGCCGAGTCAGCACAAACCACTTAAAAGTTTTGGTTTTTTCCACGTATCACCATTTATGTTTTTCAAAATAAAAAAGGACGTTCCTTTTTTCCTTCTTTTGTTCAAAATAAAAAAGATAAATGGTAATAGGTGGAAAAAACCAAATTTTTAAGTGGTTTGTGCTGACTTTGCAGTGATGTGGCGAATTGACCGTTAGTCAACGCGTTTGACCGTCCAAGATAACGGTCAAATCTCGGATTTGGCCAATTTCGTAACCTTGATGCATAGTTCAGGCCACGATATTATAGATCGAAAAGATTAGCCAGTATATTTAATTTGTGAAAAGTTTGGGCCATCTAAATATATTAACCCTAAAAATCACTCAAAGTATGTGAATATTTCCAACTTAATCATCAACTCATGATATAGGTAAGTGAATATATTAGGATAACAACAACACATGGTTAAAGATGGGTGATTTCAAAGAACGACATGAGTCTAAGGTTGGGCATATTAATTTTTTTAGGGTAAATACAATTTATTAGTAAAAGCGTTCGAATTTTTTAATTATTAGCTAAAACTTTCGAAATACAAAGTGTGGCCAAATATTAGCTTCCCATTAGCAGTTTTATTAGTAACAATGACGTGGCAACATGATATTGGATTGGAAAAGACAAGTGGAGGTCGACCTTCCAAAATTTAGTATTTTAATTAATAAAAGTGTTACAAAATTATTAACAATAACAGACAGATAGCTAATGTTTTGATACGTTACAAAAGATTTGTCGAATACTTTGTATTTTGAAGTATTTGGCTAATAATTTGATTAACCCTAAAAATTATTAAAGTATGTGGATATTTACAACTTAATCTTGAACTCATGATATAGGTAAGTGATATATTAGGATAACAACAACACATGGTTAAAGATGGGTGATTTCAAAGGACAACATGCGTCTAAGGTTGGGCATATTAATTTTTTTAGGATAAATACAAATTATTAGTAAAAGCGTTCGAATTATTTAAATTATTAGTCAAACTTTCGAAATACAAAGTGTTAGCTAAAGAAAATGAAAATAAAGCCAACAAAATAAGTGGTAATTTCTAAAAAAAAAAAGGAGTAAATAGAATTATAGAAGTGTCATTTGAATGAGCGTTTAGGAGTCGACTCCTTGGTTTAGGATTTGTCTTTTATGTTAAGGATTTTAGTAAATGAACTAGCATGATTTTTGAAAATACTATGATGTTAATTATTTTGACTGTTTTCAACTACTAAATAATTTGGATTCTCTTATATTGCCTAACTTTTGCTATTATTTTTATGTAATTTTAAAAAATAAATCCGGCCAACTGGTCAAGCCTATCTTGCTGCAAACCATTACTATTGGTATTTATAAATATATCCGGCCAACGGGCCGGGTTGAGATCTAGTAATAATTAAACCCCAAAATCTACTCTCTCTACTCGAAATCTATCTCTTCCCTTGGTTGCCGCCACTAGGGATGGCAATCAAACCCATGGCCGCGGGTATCCGACCGCCCCCGACCCAGTCAACGCGGGGAATCCCCGCTTTGACCGGGTATGGGGCGGGTATGGGTAAAACCCGCAAAAAGTTTGATGGGTATGGGGCGGTATGGTTTTAGCCTCCCCCGCCCCATACCCGCCCCACCAAGATAATTTCTTCATATATAAAAAAATATGTTCATCAAATTATAATCTATCAATGATGATGAGGATAACTTGAGAAAATAAATAGTAGAAATGCAATTGAGTGATCACCTTAATCAAAATCTAATTCATTTCTCTCAATTCTCATTTCACTGTTTCACTTTCCCCCTTGTCAACAAGATTATGTTAGTTAATTATTATTTAGTAGGTGTATCAGAGTTAGAACATAATAATTTGAAAAATATTATACTATATATTATGTATTAATGGATATTTTAGGATCATAATCTTTCATGATATAATATGTTCGTTTAGAGTTATAATTAGAACTTTTATTGTAAGGTTTAGGTATAATAACGTTGGATGTACGGGTATGGGTATTACCCATGGGTACCCGAAACCCACGGGTACGGGGATGGATTTGCAAAACATTCTCCCACATAGGTATGGGGCGAATATAGATTTGGGTATTTGAATATGGGTATGGGAATGATTTAAACAAACCCGCCCCAAACCCGACCCATTGCCATCCCTAGCCGCCACCCTCCCCTCTTCTTCCTCAACTTCTTCTGCGAATTCTAATTCCAAAATCTCTTTTCCAAGCTCTAGGACGATCAATCCCTAATTGATATCTCATTCCCAATTCTTTATCCCGACCCGGGAGCACTGAGATCAAGGTTCAATCTGAGATATGGCACAAACTATAACGGTACACACAGGAGGCTTCAAGAAATGTTAACCCTTGCTCACTTATATGGCTAGACTCTCCTTTTTATGTTCTTAAAGAATAAAGCACAATAACTGTTTTTATGATTGGACGTGAAATAAGGATAGAAGTATTTCCATTATTTACTTGATATTACGATAACGATGGTCTTGTAAGTAGAAGTACTTTTCAAGCTTAGCTACAACATAAATTAGAAGGTGGCAACTTTATGCATTGCCAATCAAGACAACTCTAGAAGTAACTTAGACAACAGTCTAGTGAAAAAGCCCTCCTAATACATCCTTGCTCACCATGTCCTTGATCTGCAGTCCATAAAAAAAGTAGAAGAGAAGAAAATAAATGAAAATATCCAATTTCATGCGATAATTTTGCATTCAAACGAAGTCGAGATGGTCATTACCTGTTTAGCTGAGAGCCCCACAACATCTTTCAACTCGTCAAGCTGTTAACAAACATGTTATATTTATCATGAGTACATATAATGAACAATAATGTCAAGGAACTCCATAATGTATATAACTTACATCCATAAAAGGTGATTCATCACGAAACTCCATAATGTATGTTGCACGTTTTTCTCCGATCCCCTACACCAAGGCAACGATGTTAGTTTCAAATTTAAGATGCTCATATAAGAACTAAAATATCTGACACCATTAAAAGCCATTAGTTACCTTTAGTTTCTTCAAATCTTCCCTGATAATGACAAAAGAAATTACCACAAATCAGTTCGCCTTGTCTAGTACATTTACAGATTGAGAAAGATGCTCAAGAATGGTCCAACACTTACTTGTTCGCTGTGTTGAAGAAATTAAGGTACTCCTGAACAAGCGAGTTCTGAAATTGAACAATGATGTATAAGCACCAAATACTAGTCTTATGGTATGTTGATATGGAGGAGAAAGGTGTCGAGATCAACCTTCACTCCGCAATTGCTTCTATTCAACTTCTCCCAGGGACTGCAGAAGCTTGCAATGTCCAAGTTCTTATTCACTTTTACATTGCATTCGGGCGTCAATGGCTCCACAGAAGCAGTTGTAAACTGATCTTGGAGAGGAAGATCATTGCTTGAGGGCATCACCGTGCGCAATGGGGTTGACGTGTAGAGCTGCTTTGGGGTTGAATTGTAGAGCTGCTTCAGATTGTTTGAGATCTCCTGCAACCGCAAGCTGATTGGTGGAGATTCATTTTTGTTGGCCAGAGATATGTCATTCTCCTTATCGAGACTTTGGCCTATCAATACACAGAAACAAGTTAACAGATTTATCAAAGACAACAAAAAGTGGGAAGACAAGATGTAAAGCAAAATTAGATCCTAACAACGGTCACTATTTTTCGTACCTTCATCCACCACTGATAATGTCGTAGTGGTTGGTGTTATCATGTCCACATGCTTGTCTAAACTTTGGCCTACTATTATAGAGAAAGTTCACAAATTCATGAAAGACCACAAAAGTGAGAAATAAGATGTTGAGCAAAATTATAACTAATAACATTCACTGTCTCTCGTACCTTCATCAACCACAGGTAAAGCTGTAGTGGCCGGTGTTATCATGTCCACGTGCTTGTTTTCTTCAGTGAGCTCCATTGATACCTAAACCACCATGATGTTATGTTCTTAAGCAACCCAGCTCAAAGACTACAAAACCAACTACAATAGCATCTTCTCGTTTGTTCTAAAATTAGAGGTTCGTTTGTTCCATAACCCTAGGCTGGGTTAAGCTTTTGGTGTTACACTCTTGGACCACATTTTTCTGCTGATTTTCCAACCAATAGAACTCGAACTAGGCATTCTACATGGGGAAAAAAGTTCTCTATACATACCCGTACCTCCAGGGAAGCAAGAGCATTTTCCAACGAAGCAGGAGTATTCTCTAGTTCTAATGATGAAGCTTCCTGCAAACCATACCAAAGTTTCAGACATCTGCCATGGTATAATGCAAACAGACAGCAAGGAGAGAAAGGATAAACCATAAACCAAAACCACATTTTCCTTTATGGAATTCGAAGTGTGCTTTTCCTAAACAAATGATAGACAAAGTAGTTTATAAGCGAGTAGCTTGTTTAAATATGCAAAGCTTACCTCTTCTTGTGCAGAAATCCCAGTATTCAAGCCAATGAAAGAACTTGCCTGGGTTTCAATTCAGACTACAGTTAGGAAATTCCTGAAGGTCCGGAACTCTATCTGAAGTCTGAACAATAGCTTTGAGATATAAGAAAACTTCAGAAAGACTTACCTCTTCTGGTAGAGAAGATTCAGTTCTTGAAACAGTTGCAGAGGCATTTACCTGCACAGCATATGAGTCATTGGTCTTCCGTCTTTAAGATTAACTAAATAAGAATCTCTCTCTTCCTATTGTTGGTTTACTTTACTAATAAGCTTCTAATTCATAATCTTTCTTTCCTTTGGTCAAAGAAAGCAAGTACCTTATTAGGTTTCTCATGACCTTTGTCGGCAAACAATTCCCTGTTAACAAAAAAATCAAGAACCTTAGACAGAGAGAGTAGGAAGATAAAGTACCCCTATATAGAATAGAAGCAGTGCCATCTAATAATTACCTTGCTTTCAGCGCAGAAGCATTTCCACTGGATTTCTTACCATGAATAGGAAAATGGGAGGGAGTTGGCTGCTTCCTCATGGAGGAAGCACTCCCAGGTAGCCTGCTTCTATGTGAAGCAAATACCTTGGATCTTGCCGTGCTATCTGTTTTTCTTGCAGAATCCACCACAATCTTGGTAGTAATGGTATTACTCTGGGAGCAACGAGAAGCCAACTTTAACATGTTCATTGAGTCTTGGCAGGAGAAGGGGTTCTGCGATTAGATAAAAGTACGTTATTAAACAACCTATAAGAAGAATTAGTAAGGAATTTACTGAGGTATAGAACTGAGAAACCAACCAAGCATGTAAGGATCAGAATGCTACTCTTCCCTCCAAGTGAATCTTCCAACATCCGGCTAAGCTTACTCTCTCGATATGGCACATGAATTTCATTGGCATGTAATGAATACGCCACTTTGATGAATGCATGGATGGACTTATTAATTTGAGCATTCTCCCCAAAGTTACCAACATCACTTTTTCTTTTCGCATCCTCATAACCTGATAGAACAAAATGCAATCAGGGACCTAAATGTTTTGATAGTGATAAACAAGAAACACTCGGGTTTCCAGTTAAGGTCTTCAACCTGCTAACTCAACAAAATTGATCTTGCCAACAGGAGCACTGGCCAGCTTATCGGCTTGTGATGATATGTATAAGATCAACCCTTTTGTGCTTCTGGGAGGAAATGAATGAGTTATCTTTTGATTTGCTTTACGCACGGTCCTGCTTTGTCTACGATATAGTTTGTGAAATTCATACAAGGACTTCACTTGAACCTGAAAAAGATAGAACCAAGAACAAGATTAGGGCAAACACTTCATTACCTTCCTGTCCAATTCACTGGAAAATAAAGATCGAAACACATACACAAGAAAGTCCTTTGAGTTGCACTCGTCCTTGGCCATCTTTCAACACTGATACTTCCTGCGATTTTGGTTCCAGCAGATCATAAGCATGCTCTTGAAGGATCTCGTAGCATGAAACCGCAACGAACTTGTTACTTTCCTCAGATATTCGTAGTATTTCGGCCATAGATAAGGCTGCCAAACCCAAATCCCCTTCAGTACCCTGTGAGGAAAATAAACGACCATTCCAACTCATCAATCTCTCTCACCTATAAACACAAATTCCGAACAAATACAACACGCGAACGATGCAGACAAGCAGAGCAAGCCTTGACCTGAATGACATGAGTCTTTCCAGAACCTCTAGCTCCGCAAGCCACAACAGTGACACTGCGACCGTTGAACACTTCGGGTAATAGAAACTGCACCTCTCTTCTAAACATTTCTTCATTGCCTTCATTCTCTTGGTAGCAGTAACCAATCTCATAACACTCTCTAGAGCTGCCAAACATAATAATAATCTCTCAGAACAGTTGGAATACATTGAACATATGCTTCCATTTCACACATTTCCAGCTACAAAACTAGTTATGCAACATCGACATTTAGGTATACTGCTTTGAATTCATTGAACAGTTCAAATACATTAAACTTTGGCTTTCATTTCACACATTTCCAGCCATAAAACTATTTAAGCAACATCGACATAATTTTTTTTTTTGGGATAATATGAATCCATAATTGCAGCCATGGGGAAATTAACGAAGAAGGGTACCAGCACCTTATTGTATATAGTCAGTAGAACCAATTCAATTGAAAATTGACATTCGGAAGATTGTCTGAAGTGAAAATTCACAGAACTTAGTGGCTCACCTGGCCGATTGCTCTCCCAAGGTCACCTTTACGCGGTCAGATGCATCTCCATTAGGCTTGTTTACTGAAATCCACGGCGCCGGAGCTTTCTTTCCGGGCAAGACCTCTGAATCCGTTGAATTCCGGATTTTGGCTACTACACGAACCTTCCCGCTCAACGACGGGACCGTCCTCGCCGCGGCGGATCTACCGATATGGTCGGTAGTCGGAGCAGCCATGGAAGATTGAACGCGTACAGAGATTCTCAACGGTGAATATGCTTGTGAGGAGGAGTGAGAGAAGCGGGTTTGGGAGGAAGTTTGAGATTGCTCGTTTGTTTATGGAAAGGAAAGAAAGAAGCCGTTAGGCTGCTCTCAATTCGAGCAATAATTTTTTAGCGGTTTTTCAAATTAAGTCCTTCTGGCGCTCCTCTGGTGGCAGATTTGCCTTCTAAGTTCTACCTGCCATATAAGAGGGTAGTATCGTCATTAACTCGAAGAGCGTCTGGTACGAAGACAAAGAGTACAGAACACACTTCTCAACAAAAACGACGCCGTTGACATCCCTCTGGTCCTCTTCTTCTTTCTCCTCCCAAATCGGTTACCAGAAAAACAAAATCGGCGGGAGGAAGAAGGAGAGACTAGCATGGAAGGAAGGACGGCCGTAAGCGACGGCGCCGATGCCGGGAAGAAGAAGATTGCTCCGGCGTGCGATGTGGAGGCGCTGAAGAAGTGCTTGGAGGAGAACAAGGGGAACTACGCTAAATGTCAATCCCAGATCGAAGCTTTCAAGTCCTCGTGCTCCGTCAAGAAACCAACTACTTCGTCGTAAAACCTGCAGCCACCACGTAGAACGGTCAGAGCTACTTTATTCTCCGTCCTGCTGTTTGTCGATTCAACAAAAGCGCAATAAGAAGAATTCACTAGGAACCTTTTTTCCCTTCTATTTTTTTACACATACTTGAAATTATGCAGTGAAATTTCAGTTGCAGGGCTATTTTAATGGCAATTTGATCACTTTGCTTGATTAGCTACTTCTGAAAAGCTCGAATTTCCGCTGATTATATCTAATTTAAGCTCGAGAACAGTCGAGCATTCCGCAATAATTAGATTGGTAAGACTTCTATCTTACCATCAAACTAGCTATAGATTAGTTCAGCAGACTTTACAACTCTTACGACAAGTTCCAAAGTAGTCATCAGAACCAATCATGTAAATCGGATTCTTCTCGCATTCTCCTTTAGCGGCCCATGCGGGGCAGTTGTCGTCCTCGTCGGAGCATTCATCGCTGCTGCTACCTGATTGATGAGGTGGAGGGTTCCCGGCAATGGTGGGTCTAAGGAAGAAGAATTTGGTGGCGACCCACATTTCAGATTCCTGGACTGGGCACCTAGAGTGGAAGCTGCTCGGGTCAGGGGAAGTGTTGAGGTGAAGATTGAAGAACAGCATCGCATTCCCTTTTATCGGTCTTAGAATCTCGCTGCTCTTTGTGCAATCGGTCCATATCTTGCTCTTGTCCTGTCAAAAGTCAGTTTTCCATGAGCTCCAAAGATGAACTAAGGGAGGCAGGGGAATCATGTGGGTTTTGGATTGTTTTGAAAGCTAACCTCTGAGTTAGGGAAGAGAATTTGCCCACCATGAGTCACATTTGAGAGATAGAACACAAGAGTGGCTACCAGAGCCTCATTTGAGGTCGATAAGGATTGGTTGCTGAAGTAACTAAGGTTCTGAGCGGTGTGCTCTTCGACTCCATACTGTGTGACCTGTAACGACTGCCCGTTATCTGAAATAAGGACAAGTGAGGTTGATCACTGAACTGGGTTGTAACTGGTGAAACAAAGGACAAGTTACAGTAGGATGAGGCTGGGCAAGAGGCAAGCACCACTAGGAAGCAAAGTCCATGCTGCAACTCTTTCCTCAATCCTTGTTATAACATTGTCCTGCAGAACAGAAAGGCCACGTAGCAGTGGCTTAGCGTCTACATAGCGAACTGAACCGCGATCTGCACGCATAGAGACTAAGCAAAACTACCAACATATTGAAAAGAGGACTTACATCTGTATCTGGAAGAAGCTTTGTACTAGCCAACATCCTCTTCTTCACTGTCTGCCTGGAATTATCACCATTTCCCGCAATACCCACTTTAGGATCTTGTGCCTGAGCCCAATTATAAGCATTTTGGAATCATCCAGTTCCATAGTAGATGACTAAAATGGGATTCAGAGGAGAAGAAAGTGTACCAAATAAATAAGATGATCACATTCCTCATCTGTCAGAAAGCCTTGATATAGGAACACCCTGACCCAGCAACGTCAACAGTACAAGAGCACATCAACTTTCCAAGCAGACATTAATATTTTCAGCTTATCAATTTTTAACGAAATAAGACATCTTCAGTTAATCAAGTACCTGACCTTGGTCGCCAAGACAGCGAAATAACGCGTGATGGATCAACCCTATTCAATGGCGTGGAGCTTCTTAACTGAATGACAGTTTCGTGGTTGAAATCCGCCTTACCCCTCAACTCCTTCCGGCTGAACCAAGCAAAAACTAGCAGGTGAAACTATAAACTACAGTACAATTTCGAACAAACAGAAGTAAGGCTAGCACAGTTACTACCTGCAGCATATGTTATTGCTATACAAAGACTAATCTATGAGATGGTAATAGATCCTAGTAGTTCCTACAAGCACTAATCAGTAAGAAAAAGTAGTTAACTAACAAAGCTGGAAGAAGCAATTCAGCCAGAAAACGAACAAAAATGCTATCAGGCGACAAGTACAGCAAATCCGCCCAGCTAGGGAACACCATTAATCTAGCGGCATGGTCAAGAAATCGCCAGAGTTCCAGCGATGCACATTTTTTCGCGAGTAGTAGCAGAAAACAAGGATCAAGTTCAAGAGCAACAACGAAATGCAACTGCGGAATCTCCGTTTTCAACGAGAGTACCTAATCAGACCAAAAGAAATCGGGGGAAGCGATCGCAGCAAACGAAACTGGAGCTTCTGAAGAGGCCGAAATGAGGTTTCGTTATTTACCTCTCGGCGAAACAGTTGAAGTGCACACCGGTGAGGGCGATGAAAAGGAGGAAGCGTAGGAAGTCCGCCATTGATGAAGAGAGAAGGTGATCCCCGCTGCTTAAGAATCACACTGGAAGGCGAACAATGTCTGAAGATCGAAGAACTATGTCATCGATTCGACAGCGATTGATCCCGTGCTCAACATTAGTGTTCCATAAATGGAGGCAAATTCCGATCAACGAACTTGTAGGAGCAGCTTAATCGGTTAATGTACGAGAGAATGGTTAGCGGGCTGGGATGATGGGCTGATGCTTTGCTCTCCATTCGATAAAAAGCCCAATCGTACCGGGCCTTGAACTTTAGTGGAGTCGTTATCTGGTTCAAATTTTAGCGAGAAGGAATAATTTCTCCAAATCATTACGGTATTATCTTATCTCTCAGCAAATTGACATTTCATGCACAATCATGCAAATGAACCAATCTACAGTTCTATACTTAAGTATCTAAAATGTACATGCATAGAAGGAAAGGTAATCGGCATGGAATATGTCGGCATGGTAAATAGATTGGATTGGTGGATCAATAGATCAAATGGATTGGATCCAACGAATTGGTAGATTATCCATTAATCCAAATAACATCTTCAACCAAGGACCAATATGTAAAATGCAAAAAATTTAGGTACTAAAATGTTATAATAAAAATTTTAGGTACCAAAATGTAAAAAGTAAAAATTATAGGTACTAAACTAATTTGCCAATGATCCATTGGATCAAATGAATGGATTGGATCGGTGAATTGGATTGAGAATTGTTACCTCTACTCCCCACATATCTCCAGGAATGTTCTCGTACTTTTTTTTTTAATTCCTTCTTCATAATACTATCAAATGCATGGCAAAACACTAGCCGAGCTCAATCAGACCATCCACAATAGCAAGTAGGAAATTTAGACATACTAGGTAACGATCCTTCCATTGATGGATGGATGCTATGGGGTAGACCATTTTGCGCATAAACTTTGGACAATGCAGGAGGAGTGGAGGGTGTTCCAACAATGTTCCATCTTTCATTCCTTCTTCATGTCCGCCATGAAGATAGCATTCCCTTGTTCAACCTAGTTAATGAATTCAATTAAAAATTCATAAATATGACACAGGGAGTTGCTAAAGGTCGCCCTTAAAATTGCTAAAGATCGCCCTAAAAATATGAAAGTTACACTTTTGACCCTTTAGCTTCTTTATTTTTCCTTAGGAAACAAACACCACTTAGATTAGGGAAAAAAAACTATCCAATAAGAGGGAACGAAGAATCCACTTATTATTATATTTGTAAATAATTAATTAAATTACAATTTATTATATATTTAAATAATTAATTAAAATGCAAAAAAAAAAAACACCAACCGCGGTCAACGCACGGTTTGACCGTCGGCCAACCGCGACCAACATGCGGTTGGTCCATAGGCCGACCGCAAGTTGACCGCGTCCAACCGATGGTGCAACCGCGAGATGACTGCGGTCGGCCGATGGACCAACCGCGCGTTGATCGCGGTTGTCCGATGGATCAACAGCACTTTGACGGCGGTCAAGGTCTCTGGCGACAACTGGCGCGCGGGTGGGAGCGTAGCCGGTGACGACGACGGACGACGGGAAAGGAGATCGGTTTCATGTTATTGTTTTGTTTCAGGAGGACACACAATTGGGACGACGGCGTGCTTCTTCATGCCCAAAAGGCTCTACAACTTCACCGGCCGGAGCCATTCCGGTGGGCGGTGAGGAGAAAGAGAAGAATGGGTTGGGTTCGATCGGATAGGGTGGTGGGTTGGTTAGGGTTTAATTGATTTCTATTTTATTTTTTACTGATTATTTTGATGATGTGGATGCTGACGGGATGGCTGATTGGACCAAACTAACAGAATTTTGGATGGAAATGGACGGAATTACCTTTTTGTTATTAGTCCAAACATATGTTATTGAAACGTACAAAATTAAAGATTTGTGACCGTTTTGTACAAAGTGAATAGTTTTGTGACCATTTATGATAACTACCCAATAACTATCTGGCCTACTCCACTTCCAAACTATGAGAAATTGCGTGGTACCTACAATGGAAGTTTCGATTGTTGGTTCCAACCGAGCAAAGAATCAACCTAGGAAGCAAATTAAAGAGAATTTATTTCTTTCCCTCCTCATTTTCCATGTTACTTGTATCTTATCAAAAGTTTATGTTAAAATTATAAGTTCAAATAATAAGAATTATTATTATTTTATCCTGTTAAAAGAACAAGTAAGGATGATACTGTCGCAACCATAAATCGGGTCAGGTCGCGTTCGCTTTTGCGAGTCGGCATCGATCTTTTGGAGTGGATCGAACACTCTTTGGTAGGCTCTAGCCTTAGAGTTAGAACCGAGACATGGTCTGTGATTAAGATATAATGGTTCGGGAGTACGGTTATGTGTGGGAAAGTGAAATCACACCCCATGACGCCCCGAAATCGGTACTACTTAAGTTTGATAAGTTTTAAAGATAAAGTTAATTGGTTAGTTGGACTCGAACCTTATCGGTTGTCTACATACGTACCCGTAACACGGCATCAAAGTCCATATAGTTCGTTAAAACTTAGATAATTTTTAAATGTAACTTTTACCACATTCCATTGATCGTGGTATTCGCATTCTGCATTTTTTGAGAAAATATAAAAATGATACTATGAATTTTAGTTATTAAGAAAAGATGTGACGTATTAGAAAACAAATGGTATTAATCCAATCTAGAATCTCTTATTGTTATAATTTCGTATCAAGAATATTAAATGAATATATATTATTGGAATCACCTAATTGACGCATGATGGGCCGGCAGCCCAATTGGCTCTATTGTCGCTTGATAATGGCATATAAGCTAGACCAAACAAGTTCAAAACTCGTTGGAGAAGTTTTTCTTAAGCAAGGGTAATTTTGTAAATGACCGAAAAAAGCAGTGGCAAGGCCGAGTAATAAACGATAAACCCTAGGGATAATTTGGTTGTATCAAAAGTCAAGGTATATAAACGTCTCTAAAAAATCCTAATCGACTCTAATCTAGGGTCGAGCGGCCGCCTGCCCTCTCTCTCTCTCTCTCTCTCTTCTGTTGTTCTCTTCTCTCTATCTCGTTTTACCACTACCGAAACATAAACCCTCTGATTTCTCTTCCAGAGCCGCCGCCCCATCCTTCTTCCTTCCTCTCGCGTCCTCTCTCTCTCTCTAAACCGAGGAAGAGAACGGGACTAACCTTCTCTTCTATACGATCTACCTCTCTCCCTCACATTATTTCTGAAAATAACGAGGAGAACGAAGAGGGTCGTCGGCGGTGACGACTGGAGGCATACACCGCCGACGATGACAACGACGACAATGAGGGTGAATATTCTAATCGGCAACACGAAGTCCGATTTAACCTCGCTGTCGGTCGCTGCTCTTCTATCACGTCACTGGTGACTAGTCTAGGAATCCGATCGCGATGACCCTAAATCGGAGACTTCCTCTCAAGATGAAGGTAAAATAGAAATGCATGGCTTCTCATTCCTATCTTTCTGATTTTCGTATGGGATTCTACTAATTTTTGAGGTTTTGGTATGTTTGATTTTAGGATTTCTGGGTTTTGGTTCGATCGAGGAAAGAAGACAAGGGTCAAAAGTCGTTGGCAATAGAGTTATTTCGTCGATGCCAACAAAATCTTGGTGAGGTTTTGATTTGCATGTAGAGTTTTATTTTGATTTTCGAGTCCAAAGACGAGTTTCTAATTATCTTCTTTTTCTTGGTTTTGGTCGGGGCGAGACCCTGACGACCACAACCTTATCTCAAAAAGAAAGGTAAGATTTTTACTCCTAAATTAACGTTAATCTGTCATTTTTATTTAGTAATAAAAAAATTTAAATCTAATTCAAAACTTTATTCTTCTTTCTCGCAGGTTTTAGAAAAGGCAGAACTTGGGTGAGGTTCCTCTAAACCCGAGACATTAATCTAAAAATGAATTTTATGGTTTATAGATTCTAGAGTAGCTACCAGATCCGGGTTTTTGGGGAAATCGTTATTTCTATGTTTTTAGGCTCTTATTATCTTGCTTATTAATTTCATAAGAACAAAGTAGTTTAGACAAAATCTAGATCATTAATGATCGCCGCCGCTGCTTGCAATCACTAAACTAAACTAAAGGTTTCACAAATCTTATTACTACTGGTTTAATTGGGATCTTTATGATGTATTAATTTGAAAGCTTATGAGGGTTTTATGAAAACGAAATAGGTCATAATATAGCAATTTGTTGGATTTAGATCGAGTTCATATGATCTAGAGCTTTAGAGATGATTTCTGATTCTAGGCTAGTAAAACTCTTCATATGTGTGTTTGATAATACGTGAGAGGTTTGTTTGGTTAGGTTCCAGTGTTTAGTTATGTTTTTTATATTTGTGTTTGGAAGATAGATGTTTTAAATATACTAATCTGAAATCCTGATTCGGTTCTATGTGGGATCTATGTTGGATTTTTGGCTGCTATTACTCTAATTCACATAAGACAATAGTGGTGTTCCTATGAAAATAAAGGAATTTAAACATGGTGAAGACTAAACTAGGCAAAATATATAACTCTGTAGCGAAGGTAAGCTATTGAATACCATAAGTAGAACTCAAACTATATGAAGATGGCATGAGGAGATCATATAAATGGAAATAGATTATGGAAGCAAGCAGATAAGTAATTCATCGGACATTAAAAGGAGCTTGACAACATGGATTAACAGTAGAATCAATCTATAGATGTTATTAACCAGAATATAGTAACAAAGTATAGAAATCACCAACCTCATATTCGAAGAGCACACTCCCTTCGCTTCTGTATTGGATGCTCCGTATGGAAAGATTGATCACTCTTGTTGGTTTGAGAACTTTGGATCTCTAATTCCTTTTTCTTCTACTATTACAAGCTTTGAGCTGGAACTTTTTGTAGAAGGCCAAAAGCAAAAGTATTTCTCTATAGCTCTCCCTATTTCCTGCGTCCCCCCTCCTTCAACACAGAGCCCAAAGGGCTCATTTATAGCAAAAATTGCGCGACACGTGTCATGTTGTGATTGATGATGAGCATGACATGCTTCTCTCTTATTGGTAGATCCTCAAGGCTGCATCTGAAGCCTCCACTAGGGATGGCAATTTCGACCTGACCTGATTTACCCGACCTGTTTGACCTGTTTTGGGGCAGGTCTGACCCGCCCCGTAGGCGGGGCGGGGCGGGAATGGGTACCTCTCATCGACCTGACCTGCCCTGACCGGCCCCATTCTCGACCTGTTCTGGCCTAAGTTACATGTAATCTTAGTCAAATTACTTAGTATTTTCCTCTTATTACATCATATTTTAGGTATAATGAAGTTGTATAAGTGTGAAAAAACTCAATTTCTTCAATAATTTAGCTACATTTTATCAAATTATGTTTTCATTCTTGGTCTTTTAATTAAAATAATAAATAATTCTAATGTTTTCGCATAAATCAAATACCCAATGGGTCGACCTGCCCCGACCCGCGCCCCATAATAAATTACCCGACCCGGACCCGACCTGCCACGGGGCGGGTATGGGTATCGAGATACCCGTCCCGGACCTGCCCCATTGCCATTCCTAGCCTCCACCTTGCTTAGTCGGTTATGACTGGCCAAGATAGGTGTTGTCCAAGCCGTTTGTGGATAAGATTGGGCCGAGTTGTGACTTGGTCGAATTGAGTCTTGGTCGAACGTGGGTCGAGCTTGGATCCTTGCTCGGGCTTTATTTGTCTATAGCTTGGAGTGGACAGTGGGTTGTGATTCAGGGCTTCATTTGCTGATTTCCTTTCTTTGTTTTGCAGATACTTTGCTGGTGTGGGCGGAGAGATAGACTTTTGTTTTATTTTCCAGCTTTGTATTTGTGACACTTGATTCCACATTTGTAGTGACAAATGTTCTTGAATCGGTGTAATTATGTCGGATCATTGTATTAAGCTTCAAACTCTTCCATGAAACTTTTCGCGCTTTTTCTTGCCATCGAACTCAATCACTTCACCTCGTACAAAACTTGAACTTGGGGTAGTCTTCTCAAATAACATCACGATTCAAATGCGACTATATGTTTAGGACCGAGACAAAATGTGGTGTCTACAAATACTATTACTTAGAGTCAAATCACAAGGGGCGATCTTTTCGTAATTAACCAAAGTTTGGAAGAGTTGTGCCATTAAGGTTCTAATTAATTAATTTATGAAAATTAAACTCAAATTGAACCAAAATCAATGGGTACTCGATATACTTCAACCCGGTTAAAGTGAGTGGAACCGGTTGTTGACGAATTTTGACTCAACAATGAGTTTTGCACACTTTCGTAATTAACCAAAGTTTGGAAGAGTTTTTGTGGCATTAACGTTCTAATTAATTAACTTATGAAAATTAAACCCAAATTGAACCAAAATCAATGAGTAATTGACCTACTTCAACACGATAAAGCGGTTTGAACCCGTGTTCACAAAATTTGGCTCAACAATGAGTTTTGCACGCTTTCGTAATTAACCAAAGTTTGGAAGAGTTTTTGTGGCACTAACGTTCTAATTAATTAACTTATGAAAATTAAACCCAAATTGAACCAAAATCAATGGGCATTCGACCTACTTCGACCCGATTAAAGCGAGTTGAACCCAATGTTCACGGATTTTGGCTCAACAACGAGTGTGATTTCCGTACACGTTAAGAAGGAACAATGAAAGCTGTGTATTGGTGAGCTCCTCTATTTGTTTTTCGCTATTTTTCTTTTATTTTTGTTTGCCTCATAGATGATGATGGAAGAGAAGATAGCTTCTTTGTTTGAAATCTTAATCGTAGCCCTTGAGGGTTTATATGTTTGCCATTGATTTCACTCGAGACTTCGTTGTGGATGAGCTTGTGAGCTATATATCTGGTGTTGATTTTTCCAGCTAGTGTAATACTTAGGCCATGATAGACCGATAATTGCACATGTTTTTACCCCTATTCTTGAGCTGTTTGAGATGTTGATTTACGTGTTTTAAGCCGATTTCACGCGAGGTTGTACGTTTATGTCATATTTCAGGACCCGGCGTTGGAATCGAGGCGAAGGAACGAGATTCGGGTCGAAAGGAGTAAGTGAGGCTTGAAGTGTGCTGGAGAGCAAAAATACCCGGCCATGAGCATAAATACCCGACCAGGTATTATCTAGCCATGGTCGGGGATTTTTGGCTTTGGGCGTCCGTGAGAAACAGAAGGGGGCCCGGGCAGGAGGCGAAAATACCCGGTCGAGGATTATTGGCCATGACCAGGGATTGTCCCTGAGGCAAAACGACGCGTTTCCATTATACCCGGCCGAGACCCAAAATACCCGACCGGGTATCGCGACAGTCAACCTTTTAAAGGAAAAGAAGGCCAAAAATCAAGGGTTCCGAGTTTTAGAGAGACAAAGGGATTCCTAGAGAGAGAAAGCGACGAACCAGAGTTCCCAAATGCCATAGCTTGATCTTCATCACCATTGGAGCCCGGCTTGAGCTTGGAGAAGTGCCGATTGACAACCAGGAGCAGAAACTCATCCTTCACAGTATGATTTCCGCGTCTGAATCTGCTTTTGCTTCTCTCTCCATGGAGTAGTTTCCCCATTCATCTGGGTATGGAGAACCCTAGATTTGTATGTTAGGTATGATTGTATGCAGTGGCGGACCCAGAAAATTTTCATAGGGGTGTCATCTTTTAAAAAATAAATTAAATAAAAATAAAAATAAATGATAAAAATAAAATTGTAAATATGAAAATACCTTACTCATATATGTTAAAAAGTCCATGATATGTTTTCATATTCGGAAATAATTGTAGAATACACTTGGTGTCTATAGTTTTAAAAAAATGGTTTCTATATACACTGCTAGCTAGACAATCATTCACGAACTTATCGCATATTCAATTTGTAAACTTGTTCTTGATGTAACCCAAAGCTAAAAGACTCTTTCAACACTTGCCGTACAATCATAAAATCAATACAAATTAAGGGTAGTTTGAAATTAGTTTAATTGTTAGGTTTTTAAAATAATTAGAGATAGGGAATGTCATTTTACTATTACACATTGTTCAAAATCGAACAACAAATGAGTTTAGCTCAACAGAAATTAAGTTTATTAATAATAATAGTGTTCTATATTTGAATTATCCAACCTACCACTTATATTCCTATACACAAATGACAGTAGGATAATCATTTTTTCAAATTTAAGGGGTGTCCTCACTATCAATTATATTTTTTTGTCCATACGTAAATTACCACTGGGGGTTGGATAATCGTTTTCCCAAAATTTAGGGGTGTCCGGGGACACCCCTAAACCTCCATGGGTCCGCCCCTGATTGTATGAACCCAAGTACAGATTTTATGAGTTGATTATATTCGATTGAGGCTTGAATGATTGAATGACTTGAATCCTGATCAAATTCCTGTTGTTTCTGCTTTAACCTAGAATGAGAATATCTACCTAGGTTGATAGAGAACCCTTAATTGAAGGTAGTGAATTGGCGACTTTAGTCGAGGAGCCAATTCACTATTCTGTACCGAATTCAATTCGGTAGTGGAGGTTTGGTTCGTTAGGGCCTCAATCTGTTTACTCCGGTGGATGTTAGCCGCCCGCTGGAGACTCAGATTGAGAGGGTCTGGAGACCTTTAGTCGAGACTTCAGACTGTTTAAGAACCTTCCGCAGTTTAACTTTCATGAAAACTGAACTTGGTAAATTGCAATCCGGCTTAACTGCAGTCTATGGGGAACCATATCCGGGTGACCTCTCTCGACTTGAAAACAACCGTTTAACTTGCTTTGTTTGTTTGTTAATTTGGACTTGCACTAAAGTTTCACTGCTAGATAACAAGAATTCACCGAGTAGTCATCAAATCTAGGACCCGGGTTGACATTAAAACCCAAACCCGCTATACTACGCTTTAGGAAGTGGTTACACTTGGCCAATTTCTAGAGTGACAGTAGGAGTGAGCCAGACCAACATTTGCATCTATGTTGAACATGGACGTTGTCGCAGGAGGGATGTTTTCAAGTTCAACAACAAAAAACAAAGATAATGGGTTGCAGTTGTACATGGGCACCGGGGGCCGCCCATGGGCTAGCACGACACGACACGGTTAGAGCACGACACGAGTATGGGCACAAAATATATGGGTAAGCCTGGCACGAGCACGGACAATTTATGGGCCGTGTCGGGTCTAAATTTCATGGGCGGCACAACACGATATATAAGTGGGTTGTGTCGGGCTTAATGTTTTCGAGACTTTATTGAGTATAAGAACGGACATTGCACGAAAAAAATAATTATTTGTTGTTTTTAAAAGTGTCATAAAGATATATATGTAATTACTACCTTAAGTAAAAACTAACAAAGAATTAAACAAAGCCAAATCACACCCACTATACTTCCAATTTTCATTCCCCCCCTTATTTGTTACTTTTCTCAAACATTCTCGGTTAATACTATCTTTCTCCACCCAATTTTCTCCTTCTTTTTCATTCACTCTTTTATTTTCTTCCTTTTCATTAAACACGAATACGAGCACGACATGAGCACGAATAGGCACGACACGATTCGAACCGTGCCCGGGCCTGGGTCGGGCCTAGCAATGTTAACAAATGTGCTTGCACGGCACGACATGAAAAATGACGGGTCGTGCCAAGCACTACACGAAATAAATGGGTTTGAAGCGTGCCCGTGCCATGCCGGCCCAAGCACGGCCCTCAACCATGTCAGTTGCAGTCCATGAGGAATAAATGATTTGTGAGTCTCTACAAAACTGACCAGTAGCTGTTCGGATTTTGAGTTTGTTTTATTGTTTCCATCTCAGACTGGTTTATCATTCTCTTATGGGTGCTTGTCATGTTTGTGGGATTTTGGGTTGGTTTGTCTGTGAGCTTCTTGTGGTTAATTAGTATAAGTATTTTTAATTATTTGTTTCAGTTTGATGCAGAGTGCGGACTACATATCCAAGGAAGCACCTCTTGGTTGCAGAGGATAAGTTTTTAGTGACACAAAGGATAGTTTATGATCTTCCTTTCAAACCCAACAACACGGTATCCTTAATTCCTTATGGCCTTTGTTTTTCATTCTTAACCTTCATTCTCCAATTTTTGTGTGCTTGGGTTTGTTTTCCATCTCTTTTCTATTTGAGAATCATTATTTGTTTATAGACTGAGTTCGGTTATAGTTGGTGGTTTAGTTATCTCTGGTTGTTTAGGCGGTATTGGCCTCAATTAACTACTAAGTATGTAGAGATTTGAAAGGATACTATGTTGTTGGTTCTTATAGGGTTATCTTATTGGTTTGTAGCTTTGGTCTAAAAATTCTACAATATTATACCATGTTGCCTTCATAAACGTCTACCTATTATAGTATTTGTACTTTATTATCCATTGGAAATTGCCTCATAAATAGTAATCTTTCTTCATCTCTTCCGATCACAGCTCCAAAGCAACTCAAACGAGAGATGAGGAGATATACAAAATTGACAAGAGTAGGTATATCATATTTCAGGTTCCCATTTGGTTTGGTTGAATTTGCTTTGAGGATTGAAGTTTGCATTCTTCTTACACTTTATAATCCATACTAAATCATTACGTTCCGTGTTCCTAAATAGTTGCTAAATTGTAGGTTTAGTTATGGTAGCTATGGCAATTTAACTACGCGTTTAACGAATCAAGATGCAATTAATTTTTGGAGATGCATAGTGACCATGATGACCATTGTAGTTGTGTTTGCTATTTATTTTCAGTTATGATGTTATTTTCGCTATATATGTTATTCTTAAAGAAATCGCCTTCCACTATATTGTCATGGGATTAAAACAAAAGAAGCTATATCATTTTGTTAATATGGTTTGAAAGAGAACTATGTAGTATAATGATCCTGAAATTTCAGAACAACTCTACCAATGGTAATTGTTGATTGCATATGTTTATGAACAGAATAAGCCTAACAAAGCTATC